CGTCCGTAACAGTCCCAGAAAAACCAAAGGTAATTGTAGAATAGACGAAAACCAGAGACTGTTCTATCAACAATTTTTTTTTTTTTTTTTGAAAAAGGAAAATGAACAAGAAAACACTTCAGCTGAACATGCTGAAGGTGGGGCAGCAAATGAAAACCATACCTTTGAGGTAAAATCGCCATTAAAACGTTTTGTATCCTTACTTGGCACAATGATGTTTAATAAGGGAAAAGCGAAATGCATTGTAGGGCATTTAACTAATGGTTTTAGAACTTCCAGGCTATCTGCTTAAGTCACGAGATGGTGCTTTTTGGCTTTTTTTTTTTCTACTTCTTAGACGATTACTATCTTTTTTCATTAATTAGAAACTTGATGAAAACGAAAGCACTTCCACGGTAGGTGATGCAACATCAGAAAACTATGCTTCGTATAAAGAGGTAAAGAATGATGGCTCCTAGTCAGCATTTGAAAGAGGAACCAGCGTTTTGGATTGGAACTTATTATTTATATGATTGGCACATTTTTTTCAAATTTGAATTGAATTTTTTCTTACACTGAAAAGTTGGTATACCAATGTTTTACTAGACTCTTTATATATTTTCAAAAATTAGGATACAAGCGCTTCCTCGGAGGATGAAACAGACTCGGAAAGTGATGACTCAGAGGAGGTAGGTAATTATCATCAAATCAGGATTTATTTAGTGATACAACTAGCTGGTGGAGAGATTTGGAGGCACATTCCCCCATTCAATTGGGAGTGATTTGACATTACATGGTACCTAATGTATGAACAATTTTGCAATTTTTCAGGTTATATTGTATCATTACACAACTGAGGATGGAGCAAAAGGCATACGAAAGGACATGAAGATAGAACAAGACCACTCTACCTATGCTAGAAGGAAACACAAAGAACATGGTTCAGGTAGGCTGATTATTCAACTGAAGATAATCACATTATATTTTTTGTTTTCTATTTAAAGAATATGAGCAGATTTCAGTTCTAGTAGCAAATAAGTAACCAATTTGAACGGAGGGGATGATGCCAATTTTACAAAGGGAAAAAATCCATCTTTTAATTTCTGTTTAAGAAACAATGATAGTATGCTTGACTGCATGATCAATTGGATGATGAATTAGTTGTGGTTACTTGGTTAATCGAATGATTGTTTCATTGGCTTTTTGGCTGGTTGGTTGGTTGGTTGATCGATCGATTGATTAATTGATTGATGCAGTATTTATTTTTCAGGGGTGTATTTTACTCAACTTGACCACTACACCGATAGCAGAACACTGATAAAGAACAATTTTATGAAGTCTGGTAGATCTCCAGACAGAATATACGTTTTTTTAAAACGCTTAGCATACGTCGTGAAAATAGCTTTTCCAAGAAGCAAAGTTGATAAGATCAGAGATGGGGATAGGGATATTTGGATCCATAGAGGGGACATCCACCTAAAAAAGTACAAAAACAAGCACTGGATTTATTCAACACAAAATCCAAGTGATACTTTGTGACGAACAGTTCTAGTAATAGTGGTGCACTTTTCTTACACCAAATTAAAAAAACGTTAATTTTTATCTTCGAGGATATACATTTTTAATAAGACCAACGGGAGCATAGATAGTATACTTCTATGTGCATAATTGTTTCGTTTCACCCTTTTTTAATCATGTTAATGGTCTTTTGATTATAGTCGTTATTTATCATTGCTTCTGTTTAAGGATAAAAGCCATCAGGTTTCATAAAACAATTTCTATAGATGCGTCTATTGTTTGAAGTTAAAAATTGTATTTTCTTTATAAAATTATACAAGTAAAAATTGTTATTCTGGTGTTTACGTATTTGTCATACTTTCTTTTTCGCCCAATTTTTCTTGGCATATTTTTTCTGAATGCATCGGCGAATTTCTAGCATTGGCAAAGCTAATTTGGGAAGTTGGCCTAAACTTTCTAAATGACTTCATTTTAATTAATATTCGCACAAATATTTACTTTTTGGAAATGTTTGTTGTAATATCTGTTACTGCCGTATTAATAATAGACTTTTTATTTTGTTGTTTAATTCTTTAATTGTTTGATATTTTTGTAGCTTTCAAATTCCTATTTTTGCCTACCCCTATCTTCATTTCTTTGGGCATGTTTATTTCTCAAAATCGTTTCTCATTCTTTCTTCTCGCAATTTTTTATTTTTATATCTCCGTGTACTTTCTTCTTTGAATAATTTGTTTTGTTTTATATCCTCTACCGTTTCTTCCTTTTCTTGCAACACGTAGCTTTCTTTTTTTTCATTTTTTTGACCTTTTATTTCCTTTTGCTTTGAATTTTTATACTCTCAATTTTTGAGGTTTTAGACTTTTTCAAAAAATCTTCTTAATTGCAACTGTCTAGAAATCTATACCTATTCGCAGGTACTTAGGCAAACACAATAATTAAGAATGTGACGTCTGCAATCAATGATCTTTAATTATTGAACTCCACCCGGTCTATTAGGYGTTGCTTATCGTCTGCTTCAGTTCGAGTTGTCGTTTTCGACTGCACTGAACACCCAATATCAGGTCACTTCTCTACACAGCAATTTCATGARCAAAATGAAGCTTTTTGAAATCATTCTCGGAGTTCTTTGCATTTTTGCTTATCAAGTAGCTAATGCCGCTAAATGCTACGTCTCGGTTGATGGRATAGCTCTTGTTGACCACGTCATGGACTCCTTCYMTRTCKACCACATCGAYACTTGTTAYGAAAGATGCGCTGCAAWGCTAGGMTGTGARAGCATCAACTTTTACGTGAAAAATCGCTTGTGTGAACTTAACAACAGGACTGTTGAGAATACCCCGAGCAAGAAAGTCTTCAACGAAAAGGCGGTTTATTTTAGGAACCCAAATCCAGGTAAGACCGGCGCAGATTCACAAATCCATACTTGGATATACACGATAAAACTAGCTACTGCTTACGACAAAACAGTAAATAATAGGTCAAAGGGAACATAAGATATTGATGAAGGGGGTGAAAATGTGTGAAAAAGGAATTTGGAATATTTCATATGATTTGAGATTCAACACCTGAAGTGCATGAACAGAACATTAAAGTCCGTTTTTTTCCTTTCAGATTTCGATGAATGTTCTGTGGCTAATGCTTGCCATGCTAACGCGCAATGCACTAACACATTTGGATCGTACGACTGTAAGTGCAAACCTGGTTATCATGGAGATGGGAAGAATTGCTCAGGTAAATATATATATATATATATAGATATTGATGAAGGGGGTGAAAATGTGTGAAAAAGGAATTTGGAATATTTCATATGATTTGAGATTCAACACCTGAAGTGCATGAACAGAACATTAAAGTCCGTTTTTTTCCTTTCAGATTTCGATGAATGTTCTGTGGCTAATGCTTGCCATGCTAACGCGCAATGCACTAACACATTTGGATCGTACGACTGTAAGTGCAAACCTGGTTATCATGGAGATGGGAAGAATTGCTCAGGTAAATATATATATATATATATATATCACTGGAAAAAATCGCGCGCTTTAAAGGTTCTAAATTTGATGCAAATATCCAAAATGTCCAAAATTCTGTAAATTGAATGGAAATCATTTACATCAAATTTACAGAATTTTGGACACTTACATCATATTTACATCAAATTTACAACCTTTAAAGCGCGCGATTTTTTCCAGTGATATATATATATATCTATTTCTCTCACGTGTTCTTAAAAACTGGCTATAATTGTCAGAACTGACTAAGGACTGTGTAAATAGACTTATAAACTATCCTTGTAAATTGATTTTGTAGTTATATTTTAAGTAAATTTGCAGGCTATGAAGATGGCATTGTGTTTCGGCAGTCATTGTTATCAGAAACACTGTAATACCCGCTAGCACAGGGTGTGCAGGCTATAGCTGAGCCACCTTTGACACCCACAATTCAGTATTATTAAGTTCGATCTTTTGTTTTCCAACTGTTTGTTGACCATTTTGTCCATGTTTTTCTTTTAGATATCGATGAATGCTCTTCAGTGTCTGATATTTGTGACCCCAATGCGCAATGCACAAATAACAATGGGTCCTACACTTGCAGTTGTCGTCTTGGTTTCAGTGGTGACGGAAAGAATTGCTCAGGTATCAGCCTTTTTTTGTTTTTTTAATGAAAACTTTTAAAAAATCTTTTTTCTAACTTTCTCTATTTAATACACACTTATTACTCGATTACTCATGCTAAACGCAATACTGAAGTCGTAATAGATGAGTACTAAAGTGATAATATTTTTCCGTTTTCAATTACCGGCCGCCATTGCATTTGTTCTGGTTTAATACAATAAGGTCCTGTACTACACAGAATGCTCCACGAACTTTCTAAAACTTTAATACATTCTTGTAGTTTTAGTGCAATTTGTTTTAAGGGTAGGAGCACATACTTACCAATATGAACTCTGTTTCCATGACGATGGCAGACATGCTCAAATATTTACTTTTGATTCATTGTTTTAACGAATTGAAATTTCTCAAGATGTAGATGAATGCTCAACAGGCACCCATACCTGTCATATTAATTCAAAGTGCGCTAATAAAATAACAGCTGCAGTAACTTTTTTCCATTCGTTTATTCGAGTTTTCAATATTGTTATCTACATTGGTTTTTAAAACAATTGCTCCTTTTTTTTCATTTTCAGATATCGACGAATGCTCGTCTGGCGTCTATCCTTGCCATGCAAATGCAATCTGTACTAATACCCCTGGATCTCACACTTGCCGTTGTCGAAGTGGTTTCGGTGATGGACGACACACCTGTAGAAGTGAGTAAAAATGTTTTGCTGTTTTTACACCTATACATATCTATTTCATAAAAACTTTGACCGAAATCTAAAAATAGACAAATTTGCTGTGTTACAATTTATCAAAATTTCTTGGCAAGTCCTGCTACTAACAAAGAACTACCTCTCTCCTATTCTATCCCTTGTTCTGTATTTGAATTAATTAGAGTGTTGTACATAGTTTTGTGTTTTATCATAATTTCAATTTAATCTCCTACCTGCATTAATAGTCATGATGTAATTTTGCGAAGACCATTCTCTTATTGTTATTTTCAGCATTACCAAAGTCTTGTAATGAACGGAAGAAGGTATTTCCCGCCTCAGGATCTGACACCTACACCATTGATCCCGGTGGCAATATTGGAGAGGTACCTTACAAAGTGTATTGTGACATGAAAGACAAGGGTGGGGTGGGGGTAACGGTTATCAGCCACAATAGAGAAAGTTGGGATTATGTCAACAATTGTCCTTGTAGTCCAGGTTCTTGCAGTCGTATTGTTTCATATAATGGAGCATCTCTCGCCCAGTTAGCTAAACTGACTGAAATCTCAACACGATGTGAACAATATATCCACTTTTTGTGCAATGGTGATGTAGCTTTCATCGAGGCCTCTTACGCTTGGTGGGTATCACGTGACGGTGTTCCCCAGTACTACTGGGGAGGAGCGACGCCGGGAAGCAAAAAGTGTGCTTGTGGTATGACAAACACTTGTCAAAACAACAAAGGATGTAACTGTCATGGTGGTGCTGGTGGGTGGCGTGCTGACGGTGGTTATCTGACAGATAAGACAACACTACCGGTGAAAGAGATGAGATTTGGCGATACTGATGATAGCAATGAAGACGCTGGATATTACCTTGGTAAACTTAAGTGTTACTAAAAACATGACATCCTTTAACACTAAACATGATCAAAAGTAATCATTTCCAATCCCAGACAGAAAATTTAGTGATTTCTGCGCATCCTTTTTTCAGAATACAAAATGATATAATGAAAAATTCAACTAGTAAAAATAGCTGGTGACAGACCGGCGTTTTAGCCACTCGTTTATCCTTGCTCAGCTACATATGGATCTTTGCGTATTCTAGCATGGTGCTAAATTGGTGAGACGATGTATCATTGCAGAATGTTTCTTGATGACGCAAATTTTAAGCTAATACCAATACAGTTTTGATGTCTCCATCCAAAAATTGATTGTTTTGGATCGAAGTCGCGATCGCCTCCACCCAGCTCCCTCCCTTTGCTACTGAGAAACAGGTTAGTTACAAGAACGATCGACATCATTTACTTAATCACTATAACCTAGATATCAATAATCGATAAGAATATTATAAGATACAGTCCATATCAGATGGAGAATTCAAGGACTAACGTTCCAGTGAAAATTGCTATTATAAACAACCAAGTGACTTAGTAGTGATTGGGGTTTTGCTCGATTGCGTGACGGTTCTTATGTAAAGAAGAAATTACATTCTTGTATTTATATAGAGAGGTTGAACACATGTGTAGTATCAACCTCAGAACATATCTATCTTCATTATAAACATACTAGTGATCTTATACTGCATTCTGATTGGTTATTCAACAAGAGGTCTAATCTGCGATAGACCATAGAAGGAACAAATGGCGAATCAAGAGAATAAACTGCCTTTCACAATAATAAGTCAATATTTCAGAATAGAATAAAATAGATACTTCATCAAAAGAGGGTGAACTAAATAGCTTAAAGCTAACAAACTTGTGGCCCTCAAGCTAAGCTCATTAATGACCTACTAGGTATGCTTACAATACTAAAACAATTCGACATCGGGAGCATAGACCACACGCAGTAACCGATGGGGCCAGGCCTGGGGCTTTTAGTGCGTTTTTCCTAGACGTCCAGTTGTTTAAGGCCCGCGTGCATCCAAGAAATCTTTGTTTTTAACATAATCGCGTGTTAAAAAGCTGATTTCTGATTCAAAATTAAATATAGCGAATTTTCATATGCGAAATCGGTTCTTGGATGCAAGTATGCCTTTATTTAAAAGATATTTATCAATCTATTTAATCGTATTATACCTATAGCTTTTAGCTTGAAGAGACGTACTGACGTAATCGATATCACAACCAGTTTATCGATTTAGCATTATCAAAACAACCAAAAAAAATCAAAAAGTTTGATTTAGGACTATAGGTTAACAATAACTATGTTATCAAGGGGCTTTATTATAGATATTAGTTTCTATTTAATGATTAATATCAATGAGGTTTGTAGGTTTTCTATAAGTTTTGTAGTTCGGGATATCTTCTAGAAATTCCCCAACAATCAATTGCAATCGTATCTCTTTTTTTATAGAACTATAATTTGTATAATCACTGGAAAAAAAAATCACGCGCTTTAAAGGTTGTAAATTTGATGTAAATATGATGTAAGCGTACAATATTCTGTAAATTTGATGTAAATGATTTCCATTAAATTTACAGAATTTTAGACACTTACATCATTAAACAACCTTTAAAGCGCGTTATTTTTTCCAGTGAATAGTCATAAGCAGTACATGTACATTCTCGATTTTAACTGCGATTTTTGCAATAATTTTCAAAAATATCATAGATTTATCCTTGTGGATTAGAGACCTTCATTTGGCTCATCTCAGTGCACCGAATTACGCTTTATAAGTTGATTCCATTAAGTTATCCTCTGGCATCAACACGATCGCAAAAATCGCAGTAAAAATCTTCGAAAAAATCGTATTACATTGCGATTTCTGCAACTGGGACCATTTTGTCAAATCAGTGCTCTTAACCAATCACATTGCAGGTATTGTTAATAATCAGCCAATCACAATTCAAATTGGTAGTACATTAGCATGGGAACACTGCTGTGATTTGATTGGATAATGGTGTTATTAATTCACTGTTACCTGATTGGTCATGTATCAACTCTAGTGGCCACGGTTATAGAACATTCAATATCCCAATTTGTGAAAGAAGAAATATTAGAAATGAAATATCTTGTAAGTTAATCTAAAAACTGAAATCATTTGTTAGTTAGAAATAAAGCTCCACTAGATGATCAGCRAGGGCTGAGTTATTTTACTTAATATTAAGACTTGCACGCGCATTGCCAGTATTTTCGACTTTTGGTCCTTACTTCAAAGAACATTTATATCAAATTTAGATTAGAAAAAAAGGAAAAACCTCTGGCGTGGATCAGGGTATAAAGGGTGGTAATTTTTTAAAATTTATAAAAAGACGAGGAACTATTTTTGGTGTCTGCAAATGAAAATATAAATTCTCTTAGTGCATGAGTTTAGCAAAGCTGATAGTGTTTGAGGACTTTCCCTCGGAGACACTTGTCAAATTTGTTTTCTAATCCTAATATTTGTACGGCTTAATCAGCATTTATGGAATTGTTTTGTCTTTGATTTCTGTTGAGAGCATCTATCGATAGATCACTTCATATCATCATTCCAATTTTGTTTTTAGCTTAGACACCGATTTAGGGATCTTTCCTTTGACTTTTTGCATTTCTGCTGACACCACATGTCATTCTTTTGCAGCTTTCCCGAGCCTTCTATATTGGCAAACACTTTTAAGAACTTTTTTTAAGTACGTTATAGATGTCAAATGTTTACTTAAATATTATTAAATAGTTGCAAACCATATGTGATACAACTTCGGCTTCTGTTTCTTCATCTTGATAATTGCAAAATATTTTACTACAGTATAGCCATAGAGGATTTTGAACTTAATTTTCATCTGCCATCGTCATGGCTTTCTTTGTTTAGCACTTGTCCTATTTCTATGACACATCTTTCAGGATCTTTAAGTTCACTTCTAGTTCTTGAGTTAAGTTTGATAGTATTCTTCCATTTTCAGTCCTCTTCCTGTTGTCACTACTAAGGTGCTTAGCCAAACAGGATAAGTCTTCACTCTACCACGACAATCAAAATACAAATGTTGTTTTATTGTCTTCTTTGTACACAGAGAGTCT